TTAACTTCACGTAAGATTTCGTGGCTCCATCTTTTGTTATCACGAACTTGTCTGTATCCTACATTTCCTAGACGTAAGTTCAATCCGCTTTTCAAAAAGGAAAATGCCCTCAATGGACTGAGGCATTGGAACCTAACCGTCACAAAAATGCTTCGTCAGTGTCAGGAACTCGGTGTGAATCGATGCTACACCGTAATCTATGAGAAATTGGTCATACAGCCAGAAATTGAGACGCGACGATTATTTGGTGAGCGTTGCTTATGAATCAATGCGTTGTACCATTTCTTGGCTAGTATACCAACGTTTTAGATTTTACAAGAGACATTTAACAGAACATATCAATGTAGGATGTTTTATTTTGAGTTACATAGGCCCTCAAGGACATGCTATAAAATGACCACTGTTCTCGCCCATGATCGAAAAGTTTTTGGACGAGTAAAAGGTCAGCTGTATGCTATGAAAGTTGTTTTGCGGTTACACTTTGAATACCATATTTCGATGTGTTGACTATCGTTTGTGCAGTATTCATTACGACACCGAAAAGCTCTTCAGTTTTTGGGGGTTAGATGATGCTAATGGGGCCAGGAAAGTTCCGAAATAATCGGCTTCTTATTGCGACAAATAAACTAGTTAGCCGACAGAACTGGTCCGCATTTGCGAAGAATTCCCACCCACGTAGCAATCGCTATTGTAATATGCGTGTTGCACACTTTTGAGCTCTGATTTTTTGCCAGAGTTGTCCCTGTGGCTTGCTGGAATACCACGTAGCAAGTTTGACCTTTAATCTGGAGCGGCGTCATTTTACGGTAATAATCCGATTCAAAGTTTCTTTGACTCTTCCCATGCAGTACTCATAAGGTTGCTGAAAACTTGCCGACAGCCGTTTCGCCCTTCTTGGGGCTCATCAGGTGGGCGCGGTTCCCGAGTATCCGCCAAACTTTATGTTCTACTTGCAACCGAATTGCACGAAATTAGCGAAATAAACTCACTTGCAAACTAATTCGGTTTTTCGAGAGGCTCACCTGGAACTCTTTACGTCTAGTTCATAGTTCGGTGTCTTCGGTTTCCACGAACCGCTCAGTCGACCTAAGGTAGATAAGAAGCTATCACTACCATTCATATTGTGCGCCATTCAAATTCGAGACGGGAGATCCAATTTTTTCACGTCTGTCAGATTTCATCATGCGCTTTCATGTAGCCATCTTTACAATGCGATCTTCGGTGCTTAAGGGTGTGCGCTTTGGGACTGTGTCATATGTAGGTTGCTCAGTTTGTCACAACTCATCGGAGCGTAATTTATTGTTCCAACTGTAATGTGAACCACCAGATTTTGTTAATACGTGGCAGCTACTGTAAAAAAGTGGGTCTCACACTGAGACATGAAGAGGGGTGGATGGTGACGAACTAAACTCCTATGTAGATGACGTTGGCAGTAACGGGCTACTCAACCGAATCGCCCGACTTTGATGGTTTTCAACTGAATGTACCGCATATAGTCGGCTTAGGTTTCAGTTGGCAGGATAATATGGACATCGCAATATACGTTTTCCAAAAGTTAGACCGTCAAAAACTTTTCAACAATCGTAAGAGTAGGGTCAACGAAGGTACTGTTGTGAACAAAAACCGAACGGAACGAGACTTGCGGATCAAACCACATGAAGGGAACATGAAAACACCGTTGAAGTGACACACGGGCATCAGGGAAACATTTCAATTCACTTTACTGGGTCTCCTATGCTAGGATCAATTTTGAAAGAGTTTTCTGGTTTTAGCCGTCTTATGGCTTCTGTTGGCACAGCTGGATTCGAGGATCTGTTTTGTTGTTGAGTCCCTGGGTGTACCTAAGACGCCAGTTGGGTAAACTCTGTGATGCAAACACTCAGAGCCACTCTTCTGTTCTACTTAGTTACGTGCTCATACAGTCACATCTGAGGACACGAATTGTGCTGGTCAGAATAGACATACTATTCCTCAGTATTGAAAACGCTGTTCTTGTTTTAGATGTACACTTAGGCTCAGTTGCATAGAAGGACCTTTCACAGCATTCTTAAGATGATGGTGGATGCAGGTTGAAAAGTTCTCGCCTTAAGACACTTTTCTATTTGCTTTGGCTATGTGAATGCCCAAAGTGGAAATGAAGGAATACTTCTTCGTGAGGGCATCAGGGTGTTTATGCTTTATGAAAATTTCGGAACTCCAAGGGTTGAACCTGATGGAAGAATGGGCAGTGAGAGGCTTAGCACATGCAGACCACCGAGCGAAATGGCGTACAGTAAACACATCCGAGAAGGCGCCGATTGCAGCGATGCAGTTACGCTGTCAATAAACTGGACTATGTACATGAACCAATCACAACACTGGGCCCGAGTAGAGAACAGAAAATTCATGCGCATGAACAAATGAAGCCACAATATTCAGTGTGTGAGTGTGTGTGACCGTCTGATTTCGAAGGTTTCAGATGCGCTGGGGAGTGGACGGGTTCGAGAAGCACGCTTAGATTGAAATGTAAGTAGTATTCAGCGGCGCTGAGTTTATGATGAATGTTCCTTATAGTTTGTGCATATATTTCCTGACAAAGTAGCATATCAGTCGTCAATCTGGGACACCTTTCTTGCAGGTTCGAAGGCTTTGCAGATGACAAACGTGTCATCCACATTGTGTCCATCACAATCTCACTCCTGTGTGACATTACACTCTATTTTGGCTATTTGACAGAAATGTCAGCAAAAACAGAGACCCATCTACCTCATTTATAGTTTATGCATATGCTCTTCAAAGACTATACATTGTTTGTGCACTCAAATGATTTCTCTAACTCGCAGTGAGTAGGGTGCTTCAAACGTATCTACCTTCACACTGATATAAAGCCGGAATCGCTCATTTCCATATTTTTATAAAGATTACTGCGTTATGACTAGCCTGAAGCTTGTGCCTTACCTACGTTTTCATCGAAAAAGGAGCGTCTTTTCGAGAGCCAGCCTACACCCCAGTATGAACAATGCGATTCATCTGAATCGAAAACCTTGTTTAATCAGTATAGAATGAATTATACTTGCTTGGTATCATGTAAATTTGGTAGCACATGAAAGTAGGATAGTCTGTCCAACATTATGCATTTCAAAGTTATTCAATCAACCTTACTTCGAACTGGAACCTCAAATTGTTCCCGGAATATCTATAACGGGCCGAAAAGCACTATCTATGTTCTATCCTCACTGTCATGTTTGCGCTAGTAAGGTTTCAAATGCGCAGCTTTACTACAGATATTTCAATGCTCATCAGCAATCCATCTTTTGTAGTTTACATATGAATCTTCAAGGTGATTTCTGAGCCTTCTCTTTTGAGTATAAGATTTGCCAGTGACGGTCTACTAGTAGCCAAGGACGTTGATTACCGGTTGGATGCTCCGGAAGACTGCGCTGACCTAATGGCTTACCACACTTTGCCTTATAACGAGCTCAGAATAATATCCTTGTATTCTTTTATGAAGACCTCTAACATAAAGCGCAAAGAGTTACGTCCGAATGGAGACTTTCCTGGTGGGCCGCTGGATGGTATACCTCGCAGTTTAACATAGCCTGGCACTTTCAGCAAAGTCTTCGATGGACGTCGTGCTATGCTTGATTGATATCAGTATGGTAGGTGACACCGAAGGGGAACGCTGGTTGCAAGTGCATATGAGCGGTGCTTCCGTTAGGTCGTTACGCCACTGTTCCGAAATTGGTGCAGAATCGGACAGTATAGGAGAAAAACAAACAGGCCATCGAGAAACGCAGATGAATGCCAAGCGTTATTGAAAGACTCGGCATTTACGGAACACGCGCTGGACACGAGACGCCAAGTAGATTTAGAAAAATGTTGAGGTTCTAGGGCGAGGACTACGGTCCACATCACAGAGGCTAATGGCCGAGGAGGTGGAAATCGCCATGCATCACAGTATTAACAGAACAGAAGGTGTGAAACTGGCAGGCGTGTGGAGAGTGGTTTTAATTCAGTCGAGCGGACAAGTGGTGGTGTGCGGTCATCTGAATTCCGATTAACCTTCCCCCAAGTAAATTGTCGTAACATTCATCATAAAAACGGCGTGTGGAGAGTGGTTTTAATTCAGTCGAGCGGACAAGTGTTGGTGTGCGGTCATCTGAATTCCGATTAACCTTCCCCCAAGTAAATTGTCGTAACATTCACAAGCTCATAAAAACCAACGAAGCTACCAGTGGCACCCCCTGTGAATGATCAGTTGAAGCACCATGAAGTGGAAGACTAAGGAACCTAACTCGACCAGAACTAACTTGACACTCTCCCAACCCATCAACGACAAGAGCAGTTAATCGACACTCAGTACTAATATGAGGACGTATTACTGATTAATTCTGCGTCCGCTTTACAACCTGCTAAAATGACCTAATGAAACTTTTGTGTCACAAGTGAAACGTTACCCAAATAACAATCTACCGATTATTTACCAAGCCCTTCTGAAATAGTGAATTCTCAGTCTGCACCAAACTTTTCCAACTGATCGACGCAGCACTGTGTTCATGTGGTTTACGTAATCAGTTTACTATGGCAGGTTTACGTGTTTGACAGTAGATTCTTGTGGTGCTACCGCGGAGTGTGTGAACCTATTTTGTTGCATATAACAAAGCATTTCTAAGACTATGTGCTCTGTTGACGAAATCGGTTGAATTTGGCACACTATCACATGATCAACCGCATCGTCAAAACCGATCAATTGTTTATTACTTTGTTTATATTATTTACGCTTGAGAGTAACAGTACTTGTTGTGAATCAGAGATGAACTATCCCCCTCGTAACAGCCCTCGTAATGCGATTTTGGGTGAGAAGTGTTTGACCGCCACACCAAAGCTGAATCAATTGCTAGCGAACGAAAATCACGGTGTTTCTAAACATGATGTTGATGGTCCTAGGCATTTCTGCCAGGCCATGTCTCATCTTCGACCTCAGTTAACAATTGCACATCTCACCGGTTATATCCATGCAGAGTTTTTGGGCATCCCATGGGATCCAATAGTAACGAGGCACGAGACCATGCTGGCGACAATAACGAATCCGAACCCGTAAGTTTTTCGCACACTGTCACGTCTCACCGATTGGTTAATCTGTTCAGTGGTGTGGTGATGTTCCATAATTGGGTGCTTTGTCAAGGTTCATATGGTGGAAAGTTTCACAAGGTGTTGTGCTGAGTTCAGCTAAAATGGAAAATGCGTCTCACTAGGTACTATGCTTCCGCAAGTGTACAGCTTTCTAGGAAATGCCCGAAGTTGTTCTCTCATCCAAGGAAAGGAGTTTTTATCGACAACTTCCCTCACCATTTAGAAAACCTTACTAAATTTTTTGGGGATGTGTGAGTAGGGGTTGTCATTTTCTGATTTTTGGTTGAGTTTCGACTGGAAGCCTTATTACCTCAGTGTTTGACTTGTACAGTAACTCACAGGAAACGGAGATCGCCTGGGTTAGTGTACCACGAGTATCAGCACGATACACGTTTGACAAAAGGCGGTGGAACTCTGAATTGACGGAAAATGGATGGTTGAATATTCGTTGTATCTCAAAGGTCTGACAGAATGCACATCACAATACCAACGGTATTAGTTATCGCCATTAGGTGACAACACCGTGCCATCGCTCGACCGCCACTTATCAAAGACTTTTGGAACTAGAGTCAGTTGGCCATAAAATATTACCCCATTCCTAGTCCTGTGTTGAGTACAGTTGGGGTGGAATTGAAGATGGTTGAGTGGCCATTACATCATATCAGGGCTATCGAGCTTGTTTTCTGGGCTCCGTACATCACTCAGAAATGCGAATACGTTCAGTTGAATTGATAAGAGCGAAGGGAAGCAGCCCCCACTCCAATCTTTTGAGGCACCTGAAGACCCACAATGTACGGGTTTGTTTATCCTGCTGGCTTCCTGGTTTTAAGATCAATTTTTCTTCCTCGCTATGCGATTCGACGGCGAATCCTCAAGGACCGGCTGAACAAACCAGCATTTCATCACATTGATGCACGAACGACTGAGGATTACTACCATCACCAATGCGCTGAGAAACACTATATCGGAATCCGAAATAGTGTGGTCCGAATAATCTCTTCGTCACTGAGATTTGCTTTTCCCGCTGCAGTTCGTGAGCTGAGCTCTGAGAAGATCTGAATTCAACTTAAGTAGTCGAAGCAGCATCCACGTCTATGACACTTGAGCAAGATAATCACGAGTCTGTCAACTAAATCGCACTTCCTAAATGGCTTTTTAAAAGAGTTAAACATGACCATCTTCATCATTGAAGTCGATTATTCGACCAATATCCACCGTAACAGTCGAAGCTCGAATTACGCTTCTCTTAATGGAGGTGGAAACATTAAGAAGTCCACTGAAAGAGTGGAGCAATAACTGTTGATGGTGAGCATCTGAGTGGAAATAACAATAGCAAATTTATCCTCCCAAAAAGTCCGTATTCAACCTGCTTGTGTAGATTAGGGAGCTTACAGTGTAATTAGCTGTCTGTGAATCAGATAGTTACATTCTAAACGTTGAACTGGTTAGGTAATTTAATTCGTACAGCGGAGCCGGGTTCAAAGCAAAAGCTATTTTTCACCCAGCCATGTATTTGGTTGGACCGACCTCCTGTTTAATGACTTGGAGATAAAGTTTGTAGAATCTGTCCAGTCAAGAGTGGTCTTCCTGGTACGCGACGTCCCCAAATAGGGATCTCAGGATGAGGCACCAGTGGTTAGTGACGTCGAGAGACGTCAAACCGGCAATAACGGTCTTGCATCTAAGCTAATGCCTTCACGGATCTCTCACTGAGCACTTTACCGCGCAAACAGGAAAACATGACATCAATAAATTGGTTCGGTTGTCACCTCTTCACCCTCGGTGAAGCCACTTTTGGTAGTGGGAAACACTGACCATCCTCAACTGACAGGTGATTCCTAATGTGTATGCGTTTCTTTTGTTTCACTTCAATCCAGGTACGAACCAAGTACCAAACAGTTTATGCAAAAGATTCACACCAAATCGGTCGACAGTTGGGCTGGTCCAAAAGCGGTACTGAGCAAAACGGTTCTCAAGAATATCACAGCAGACTGCACCCTGCTGGACACCCTTGGTTACACTGCTCTGGGGCTTCCGCCGGACTACACGAAAATGAATTCAACATTGCCTGTGATCAAGTAGTGTTATGCAACAAGAACGGAGAACAAACAAGAAATACCTACCCCGTTTAGTCTGTTTCTTCTCTTCTTATTTTAGATAGTGAGTAGTCAAACAACCGGCAGGTTGTTCTAACATGAACCATAAGAGAACACAGTTCACTAGACGAAACGAGTCGTGTACAACCATATCGACTTACATGGCCCCAGGTATTTGTATTTTGTAAGATAGAATTAAAGTATGATGAATCAGCTGCCTTGCTACATTCCTGTGTGCGGCTTGTTACCCGTGCTCCTACGGAATTGTTTGCTTGGACCCTGCACAAAGACTCCTCCTCGTTTGCATTCTTTCCTCTGTTTGAGGCTTGTTTGCTATTTTTTCGTCCCGGGTTGACTTCCTCTGCAACTTATTTCCGGAGAAGGGAGCATTGGTTAGCCCACTAAAGTGCGTAAGTTCCCATCTGGCATATCTATATTGTAGAATCAAGCGTAGCTTATCCCACTAGGAAGTGAGCTGCTCTTTGGCCTTAAGAAGCTGCTATCTCATCTGATCGTGGGTATACCGTCCGCGACAGGCAATTGCTTCTTTCTTGCAAGGAGTTTTCCCCGTCTTCTCCAGTGTACGACTGAAAAGAGCCTATTTTATCGTTTAGGTGTGCGCTTAACATCAACTGGGAACATTGTTTTCTTCAGTAGATACGAAGCAACTCTTGCTTCCGGCTCGCTATCACCATTTTCGGAAAAAAATCTCAAATTCGACGGTGAAATCTTTCACTGCCTCCATGATAACAGTTTAAGCTCTGAAAAACGGAAAGGCAAAGAAGAAACAGAGGCAGTAATTTTTAGGAATCTACGGACGAAGTGAGACATCAGCCATCCCACCCTACAAATTTAGACTTGTATGATTAGACACTAAGCCAATGATTTTATGTTTAGTTCTCATCAAAAAATAAAACAATCAAGTATTTTGAAGCAGAAACAACTTTAAGTATTTTTCCCATCCTGACTTAAAAGGATTCAAAGCTCGTGGCTTGGAAGAAATTGAAAACCAGGTTAACGATTAACAGGCCTCGGGCCCTCCACAAAGCCGGACGGTCCTCCAGACAGTATTGATGAATCGAATTAGGCCGTGTGCTCAGAAAGACCAGAGACTACTTTGGTTTTATTGATTGTTACCTTCTAGTACTATATAAACGATGTGACTAGCCCCGTTCTATTACGTTTTACACGCAGTGTCAAAAGCGGTTATATGAGATGAATTCATCCCGCAACATTGTTGTTCTCTCCAAGTTTTTATTAGGATATACTGTCAAGAAAAGTCGAAATGCTCTAGTGCTATTTCGCCCACTTTATTCATTTGAGCTAGGTTTTACTAGCACGTTCATCGACTAGCTACGTAATATACATCCTCATCCTTCGTCGAAAGCGAACAATCCTACTTTATCGTCTACGCTCAATGGCTGGAGCCCACAAGGCTGAATCAAGGCAGCGGATACGCTGTAGAACTGCATGTCCTATCTTTTAGACACGAAACAGTGGAGTACTCTCTAGTGATCCGTGTTTTTCTTGACTTAGAATCTTAAATTAACCACATGAGTAAGTCGCTGAATGACCGCATGCTCTCACGGTTCAACTTGGGAGAGAAAACAGTTCGTTATGGCCGACTATTCTCATCCGCAAACTAATTTAGGTTAAAGGGATGGGGAGTGAAGCCCATGCGAGCTGGATCCTCAGTTTGCGATATTCATCAGTGGGGTATGTTGTAAAGGTAGTATCATGTTTCGAGATATTAAAACATATTTTACCGACAAAGGACACTACCCGTAGGGTTTTCAGTAACCGTATGAGTAACATGTTCTGTCAGTAGATCATTTTCGACAGTATTAGCAACATCCTGATGCAGAGTTCATAGTGTTGCAGACTATCAGAGGGTACATCGTTCATAGGTTGAATTACCATTACATGATCACAGCTCTCAGGGAATTGTAAGAGATTCCTTGTCAGATTTCCTTCTGATGGTACCTCCAGCAACCTACTCTAGGTTGAAAGGACAATCTATGAACGAAAAACCCCCGTTAGCTGAAACAGTCAGGTGTCTTACTGAGTTTCAACTTCGCGCACGGGAGATTGGAGCTTAACGCTACCTGAAATTGGCCATAGAACTAACGTATTGAGGAAGAGGTGCAATCCACCTGTCGGAATATTATCAGCTGCCACTGTTTGCTGTCGGCTGCTTTCACAACCATTTTACCGAATTCCTGAAGATGTGCTTGATCACTCACTTTCGCACACCAAACGAGAGTATGGGCTAGAGCCACATAGAATACTCTGAGCGCTGTGAAGCCAGCTGATTTAGAATATCGCTTCACATGGAGAGCAACACGATTCCGTGCTCACTGACGCAAATGAATTCACATTTGACTGATTAGCCTTTGTCATTTTTCACTCTCACCAACGAGAGAAAATACTCAGTTTACGGAAGAACGTCATGGCACAATAGAAGGGGAACGCCCAAATGCCATCCTGTGACTGCGGAAGGCTGACAAGAAAGTGATTCTACATTTTGAGTGGCGAATTGCCTTGCCCAGAAATAGTAACTGCACATTTTTAGTGACGGTGCTATCAGAGTAAATACTCTCAAATTTTACTTTTCACTCTTATAAAAGCTGCGCGCACCTTGGTGATTCCTCAGAGCGAATTGCGGTGATGCGTCATAAAACATCCCAAATTAACCTGTTTTCATTTTGAAGAAGGTTCTATCTCATAGACGGGAGCCTCATGTAGCCCTTTTTCATTATTAAAGGTAAACTCAACCTATGCTGAGATACCGGAAATCCCTATTACTCATGTTGCTTTTATTCACGCGCTTACTCAAAAACAAAGTCACTATAGCCTACATATACAGAGAAATCTTATGTGATGTGAAACATCGATGCCATCGCAAAACAGTTGAAAACACTAACAAAGTGTTTCCATCGTAGGTAGTCCGAAAAGACTGACAGAAGCTTGTCGAGAGGCCTTGTGCTGGTTCCGCCCAGTTTCGGGCTCAACAGCCTGGTTTTGTTTTTTATTTTCAGTTGGACTTTTAAACTTAGAAATACCGGACGGAAGAAGCCTTCGGTTGCAGTGATTTCCGGTCAGTAAGCGATTTCTATTTAAAACAGTTGATCTATTTGCACAGTCATGATGAGGACCAGCCGCCCGTGATACCTTCCAAAAGACTGTGCTGTTCCTGAATTCATAGAGTGATGTTCCGTGTTTCAGACTACCATAATTAGCACCCAACAATGAGGTAAAACGGTCCTCGATTCAAGCACAATGAAGGAGAGTACTCGGATCTCCGTTATTTCTACCAGGCAGATGAGTCACTCGTGTTCGTAAGGATTCCGGAATAAATATCGGATTCACTGCGCCCAATTTGGGTTAATCGGAACTTAAAAGGCGCAATGTATTAGTACCCGTCACTGAGTAAGTTTTACAAACAAGTAATTTCTACCGCAAAACATTTCCCGAAATTCGAAGTTCAATCTGTTATTGATCGGGTGTCAAGTATGCTCCAGTCTGTTATTTGTCGCATTTAGTATGTCGCAGCTGCTTATATGTAGCCCGAATTCGGTCGAGCCAAACCGTAAACAACTGAACTTAGGATATCACAATGAGCAGACATCACAAATACCTTTATTTGCATATCAATCCAGTTTTCACCGGTGACTCAACTGAGTCTCTCGTTTGTGATATTCTTCAGCTGAATGCCCCGCACAAACGCTGCCTCGTATTTCAGCTGGTAAGATATTCAAGATATCGCAGTATATTCTCATAAAACGAACTACTTACAAGGTTGCTGAAAACTCTTCGACAGCCCACGACCGGTTTTGCCCCTGTTGGGATTCATCAGGTAGGCGCAGTCCCTGAGTTCCCGTCAATCTTATGCTCTATTTGAATTCAACTTGGACTGAGTTCGACAAACACACTCATTTGCAAATTAATTTTTTTTCACGAGAGACTCAACTGAATCTCTCGATAGTGTTACACTGGTTTTATATCCACACGTAACATACGGTTTTACGTGAATGCGATAAGCCTTCATAGTAAAGTGACTGACGAATGCTTAGACAATCGAGGAAAGTCATTAGAAAAAGGGAGGAATATCTACGTCAAGACGATTAGATCTGTCCTAATTGATGAAAGACTATACATTGACGATTCTTCTTCGTGGGAAATGTTGAATGTGAGTACTTTACTTCATGAATATCGTGCCAACTGAAACGTGAAACAGCCTTTTTGTAGCACATTTAGTCCCAGGTTCAAGTGAAACTTCATCCTGGGAGTTTAATTAGTCTGTGTTGAAAAACAGAAAAGCACTGTACAACAGTTTCACCTTTCGCGGGAATCGTTATCAGCGAGTATCCCATCATCCCGTAAGGAAATTCCTGAAACTTTCATACACGTGGCAGCTAACGGATGTCACTGGCATACTAGCTAGATTATCTGGCCTAGTGCTAGAGGTGCAGGCTTCGTTTGAACAGATCGAAGTGTTTGTGCGGCAGTGAAGCACCAGTGTTCTGTCTGGTTTTGTTATCAGTGTTGATTGTGTTGATTGTGAGTGGCGACCCACCTTATTTGCACAACGGAATCCGACACAAGTCTTGAAGTTAATGTCTACACCTGATTGGTCCACAGTACTGCATTCGTCCCACGTTATTCCTGTTTACGATATAAAGTAGCTTGTTTTGAATGTTGCAGTTGAAGAGGTGATGACAAGAAATTTGACTACCTGTCGTCTATGTCCTTTTAATGCGCTACTAGCAATCACAAATGAAGCTGCGAAAGAACACCACTAATAACAATTTACCGGTCAATCAATCAGTCATGTTCGGCTTCTGTTCGGGTCCTGTATAGATGGATATAACCTCAGGAACAGTCTGCCCACTAAATCTGAAAATACAAAACAAAAGAGAAGTATCGATAAATGTACTCATTTGCATATCAATTTGGTTTTTGGCAGGAGAATCACCTGAAACCTAGCTGAATCTCCTGTTTATCATGTTCTCAAGCTGACGTACACCAGGTAGTTATTTTTCGCCTTCTATAAGTGGTGGCTGCTTATATGTAGTCGAAATTCGGTTCATTTCACCCGTGGAGAATCTAAATTAGAATGTCACGGTAATCAAATGTCACATTTTCCCATTTGACGTTCTTTTCAGACCGGCTTCAATGATTACTCCTGCGGAACGCATAAATGATTGTTGGTTGCTACTAAATCTCACACTGGATTACGTGCCGTA